TACGGACCCGAAGGTCCCTGTGGACCTCGGAAACAAGTTCCTTGACCTTGATAGCGTGGAACGCTTTCTAGTCCTAGACTTGGATGCAGTGTATGACCTCATCCTAGGAACGGCATGGTCGAAACACCATGAGCAATCGATTGATTGGAGGTTAAAGACCTTGTGCGCTACGCGCAAGTCTCCTGGTGGAGCTTTGGCGAGTCATGAACCCACCTCTGCTAGAAGACAAAAGCGCTATAGGCGAGAGCACTAGACCGAGATGGTCAACGTGCTGGACATTGGAATGTCCGAGTTGGTAGAGACCAACGGTGTATTGGACAGGAGTCCCGAGCTTGGCTCGCGGGCTGATCGTGGAGTGTCACGTAACTTACCTAGCGCTGATCAAGTTTTGGAGCAGTCGCTACATGTCATGCGTGACATGGTAGACCAAGGGACGAGACATCGATGGCGAGGCCCACGTGATGCACGTGAAGTGGCACGTAACCTACTGAGCGCTGCTATAGTTTGAAAGCAGTCGCTGCATGTTATGCGTGACATGGTCGCCCAAGAGCCGAGGCATCGAGGGCAAGGCCCTCGTGATGCACGTGAAGTGGCTCGAAAACCACTGATCGCTGCTCTAGTTTTAAAGCAGTCGCTGCATGTCATGCGTGACATGATCGGCCAAGGGCCGAGGCATCGAGGGCGAAGGCTCCGTGATGCACGTGAAGTGCCATGTAAACCACTGAGCGCTGCTCCAGTATCGAAGCAGTCGCTGCATGTCATGAGTGACATGGTCGGCCAAGGGCCAAGGCATCGAGGGCGAAGCCTCCGTGATTCACGTGAAGTGGCACATAAACCACTGAACAAGGCTCTTGTTGCGAAGCAGTCGCTGCATGCCATTAATGGCGTGGTCAGACATAGTCCGATGTATCTTGGGCGCGCCCTTCAGATGCGCGAGGAGTGGCACATTATCTACTGGACGAAGACTGCGGGGTTAGCAGCTCTTCATAGGATGTTGTAGATAACATCGGGGCTTCAGAGGAGCGGACAGTGAGGGTGACACCGGACGACGCGGAGTGCGCGTTCACCCTGGTCTCACCGACACATAGAACCTCTGTGCAGCAACGTCGTATGCTGGATGCGAGACGCCAGGCGTCGACCCTGATCCAGGGTGTGTCTACCGCAGACGATGGTGCACAGTGATACACCCTTGTCAACGGTATGACGGGGGAGGAAGATGGCGACGTCCGCCTCAAGGCTATGCCTGCAG